ACAAGGAAATCCATGAAAATACAAGCATGAATGGTTTCTGGGAGAGTGCTTTTCTTCTTTCTGCTCTTCCACAGTTTTCTATTTTTCTATGATTGAAAATACACTCTTTTCGTAACTGAAGAGAATAAACCCTTAAACTTTAAAAAGATTAAGGGGAAACCAATACTAGCCATTTTTTACCAGCATGTTCTCTAGGTAAAGATCTTTTGTGATTTCAAATCTTTAGTGATAAAACAGCAGATAAACCATAAATAAGACTGATGCTCAACACTAAAAAATATATATAAAAAAAGGAACTTGTGCAGTTAAACCTGCCTGGTTGTTTTGTTAATTAAAAAAGAGAAAGAAACAGTTCTTAAAGAATAAAAAAAAAAAAGAGAGAAAGAGAGATAATACTTGAAACACTTACTTGGTGTCTGCCTGGGGGCCTCTGAACTATTGAGCGCAAAATCCCTGCCATGAGTGTGGTGACTGTTCTCTTCTGAGGCTGTGACAAGCAGAAAATAGATCCGTGAGTCAAATGTGTCTTGGAAATGGCCAGGTGCCCACTTCTGTATTATTAAAAAACTAAAGAACAAGTTAATTATAAACTCAGTTAACGTTTAACAGTGAAATCTTATTATTTTAATACAATAAAGGTAAGAATTAAGTTCTAATAAATGTGTTATTTGGAGTTCAGCAAAACCATACGTAGTAATTATACATTAACCACATCCTATTTTTGCCAAATGAGTTAGAACCTAGGTTGACTCAACAAAAATGGGCAAAGGAAGTTATTATTGTTTAAAAAAAATTCTCTTCCACAATAAGCACAAAGAATGCTTTGTTATAGAATCACAGAAAATGGAAGAGCTAGAAGAGACTGAAGAAATCCCGACTCCTAGAACTAGAATTAACAACCTTCTTACCTTATGTATGTGGAAAATGAAAAATCAATCATTTACCAAGGGCATCCAGTTATCCAAGGAGTATATGGTCTGGAACCCAATTTTAGTTCCTGGTCCAGCATATTTTCACTAAATCATAACATCTTTCTATTAAGAGGTAAACCATAACTTCCTGTTTTGCATATTTGTACTGTTAAACTATTCTTAACGAACATGCATTGCTTCTATGATGTAGAAAAAGTCATGTTTATTTAGACACAAATAATTACAACCTACTGTACTAGGTATACTAAAAACAGAAAGATTAGGTTTATGAACTACATGTATATTTTGGATATTTAATTTGTGTGCTTCAATTTTTTCCCCAGAAGAAAGAATATAATACCTATCTTGCAAATGAGTTATTCTAAAAACACCTAAAACAGTATTTAGCACATAAGAAGCCCTCAATGAATGGTAGCTTTTACTATGATAAAATTATTAAATTATTACAAAACTGTAATAAGAATAACACATCAAAATAGAATACAATGGTGTATTTCAGTGAATCCACCAGATTCTGGCTCACTCAAGCTCTGCAAGTCTTTCCTGTGATGTGGAAAAAGCAATGAAGTTGTGGGAATCAATGCAAGATGTCCCATTAAAAGAGCCAGACTTCAGAAAAATTTTCAGCAACTGAACCAGTCTCTCAAAATTATGCATATGTTTTAGAAGAGTTAACTACTAAATCCTTAGTGCCATGAAACCCAGAATTTTGTCTTGTTCATTTTTTACTCTCAGCATCTAGCACAGTCTCTGATGAACGGTGTTTTTTCTGAATGTCTGAATCAGTTAATGGGTTAGATCTATGGTCTGCTCAGCTCAGAATTCAGAAGTACCTCAAAATTTCATAACTCTCATTCAGACTTCAGACTTCAAACATTACCATATAGCATAACAATTCCTAGTTCAAATCATCAGCCATTGCTTGGTTGTTTATATACATTTTGTATCAAGGCTTCCTTAGAAGAAACGCTTAATTTCCTTAGAAGAGATGCTTATTTAATCCTCAGGCCCTTCAATCAAATAGGTAATGATAAAATATTTTCTTTACCATACTTCTTCCTCCCAAGTTAAACATAATATACCAACGCAACTCATTTGGCTTCACACTATGTTACTCTTTTTCTTATCACTTAAATTTCAACAAAAGCCTCCTCACTGGCCTTCTAGCTTCCATTCCAACTTCCCTAAGATCTCTTCTTTATGGCAGCAATCATCTAATTAAAATCCTAAATCAGATCATGTCAACCAACTCCTCTTCTCAAAACCTTCCAATGAGCCAGGTTTCTCACTGTTGGAGTAAGAAGTAACATATAAACAAGAGGAGAAAGCCAGAATAAATCCATGTGATCCAATGGCACAGGATTAGAGTTCGAGCTCATGTTTAGCTAAATATAGATAGTGATGGATATAGAAATAATCGCAGATATGTATGAATACGTGAGTTAGCTCTGTTAGCTAAGAAGACTAAAAAGCAATGGAATCCCCGTAGCAATGAGCACACCCAGCACCCTGATCTTAGCATTCTCTAATAAAAGAAACCAGGGTTCCATGGAGAAATGGCTGATTGGAGGGCTACCTCAGGGAATATATAAAGATGAGCCTGGAGCATCTTGTAGCACTAGAAAGGAACTACTCAAAAAATCAAAATGATGAGAGTATGTTAAAGGGACATAGGAACCAAGTGAAGAGCTCCCAATGGCAAAAGCTGGACCAATATGAGCTACAAGGTAAAAAAGCACTGGCTTATAATCCAAACCATAAAATAACCATGATTCCATATTCACATAAATAAATGAAGAAGTAAATTAATGGGAGAGAAGAAACAAATCTCCCTTATAGAAGAATTCCAAATAACTTATGCAGATACTTCCCTCTCAAAAAGGTGGAGCAAAACCACTCATAAGTATGGGCTATGCTTAACAACTTGCTCCCAGAGTACAGTATAGAAAGGGTGAAAAATAACATTGTACTAGAGAAACCTCACAAACACTATGTCAGCCAGGTGATCATGGTAAATATCAACTGTGATAAAAGTCAAGTTGATAGCATGCATGCTTGATATGATGGAATGAGAATGGCACTTCATGTCTGTGGTCTTCCTCCCAAAAACCATGCTGAGAGAAAAACATCAAACTCCATTTGAAGGACATTGTGGAAAATACCTGACCAGTACCTCTTCAAATACCTGAGTGTCTTAAAACTGTCAAGGTCACCAAAAACAAGGAAAGTGAGATACTGCCATAGTCAAGAGGAACCTAAGGAGCCATGACGACCAAATGGGATTCTGGAACAGTAAAAGGACATCTAGTAAACACTAAGAAATCCAAATGAAGTATGAACTTTGGTTAATGATGTATCAGTATTGATTCATCAATTATAATTTATATACCATACTAATGTAAGATGTTAATAAAAGGGGAAATCAGGTGTGGGGTATACAGGAACTCTGTACTATCTTCACAACTTTTCTATAAACCTAAAATTATTCTAAAATAAAAAGTTGATTTATTAAATACCTAAAAAGCTTTAATGCATTGGAGCAACAGCCAGTCCTTAACCCCCACCTCTAGGACTTCATCTTCAACCACTCTTAATCAATACACACACTGGCCCCCTTAGAGGTCCTACAAGTTGCCAGGCAGCCATGCTCCTTTGGACGGCTGTTCTTTCTCCTGGAATGCTCCTGATATTCACATAGTTAATTCTCTCACTTCCTTCAATTCTTGGCTCAAATCTTTTCTCAGTAGGGCCTATCCAAATTCCATTATTCAACATTTTGACCCACCCCCAAACTGTCAGACTTCTTACTTCACTTGATTTTCTTTCCATGGCACTTACCTTCTAACACAGTTTATTAGGTTTGTTGTTGTCTGTCTTCACCCAGTAACATGTTAATTCCGCAAGGACAATGATTTTTAAATTTTGTTTTGTTTTTGGCCTGCCCTGTCTCTTCACAGATGTATCCCAAGCATATACCTAAAGCAGCACCTGTCATGTACTAGGCACTCAGTTTTTGTTGAATTAAGTTTAATTTACAGACTTCAGAAGGTGTGACAGTCAAAAGTTATGTTTTAAAAAAAGTAAAGATTATTGTTAATAATAAGGCACACAACTCTTGGGCTTTGAAGTAAGTAGCTCCCAGTTAATGTCTGAATAGTTTTAGATATCTATTTAATGACAAAAGGAGGGGAAACACTACCGAAAATGCACAACACAGAATTTCCCTTTCAATAAACCGAGATCTCTGAAGGCAATAAATGTCTCTTCTTTTAATTCCTAATGCCTATCAAGTAATAGGCAGTCCCCATCCTCATCCGCGCCCCTTGGCAAAAAGACGCAGAACAGGCAGCTGTGGATAGGTGGCAATCAAAAGCATGGTTGCGAAATTACAGCTTTTGGTAAAATGGTAAATATTTTAACTGCCAACGCTGGCAGGTTTTGCCTTCTAAAATGCAATTAGGTAAGCTTTTATCTTTACTAATAAAAAAATTCAAGTTACACTGATCCCCAGTGGGAAACCGAAATTAATAATAAAACAGAAGCACAGAAACTGCTAAAACAAACCTGAATTCCCTTCCTCACTAAGCTATCCTGCCTAGGCGGCTCGGCCCTTGGGCTCCAAGAGTCGGGCTCAACAAGCCGCGGGGATCGGGAACTGGGACACAGGATCCGGTCGACCACTGGCTTTTCGCGAGCCCATGGGACAGTACACGGGCGCAGGCCCATTTAGGTTACTGCGACCTGCAAACTCAGAATCCAATAGGAAAACCAACAGCCATCTCCATAGCGTTCCCAGGTACGTACTCCTGGCAAAAATGCAATACTTTCCGCCATTCATTCCCCTCTCACCAGCTACTGCTAAATGTTGTTCAAACTGAACTTACCGAATGAAAGAAGAAAAGAGGAAAGGTCACCAAGCGCTACATTCAACCCCAGCAGTCACAGCGTGCACCAACTGCGACACCGCGCACTTTAGTTCCGGCCATGTCCCGCCCATTCAAGGGCCATAAAGAGAGCGCAGGCGCACTGATGTCACGTGATCGCCCCCGGAAGCGCGGCCGGCTGGCTCGGTTGTGGTTGAACTTGGGGCGCAGGGGAGTTTCGGAACTATGGCGAAGTCCGGGAAGGAGCTGGATGGTCAGAGCGTGGCTGCATTCACGGTGTTAAAGCGGGCGGTGGAACTAGACTCGGAGTCCCGGTACCAGCAGGCTCTGGTGTGTTACCAGGAGGGGATAGACCTGCTCATGCAGGTTCTGAGAGGTGAGCAGGGAGCGGTGGAGAGAGGATTAGAGGAAAGGAACTGGATCCCGCTGTGTCTGGGGCGGAGTGAAAGTTAAAAGTCCTTCTTGTGCACCACTAGGAAGCAGTCAAATACGGAAGGTGGATATTCTACAGAACAAGTGGACTGGTTTCTTTTATATCTTTAATAGATTGATGTCATTAGAAAAGAGGGGCAATACTCTAGATTTTTAAGAGACAGAATAAAATTAGTATATAAACCTTGATAGGACTAGTTTTGAACGAAATGTAAAAGACATTTTTGGATCAGTTTGGGAACTTTGAATATGGATTGGGTAACACTCAAATTACTGATTTTGTTAAGCAGTATGGTTTTGTCGAAAACTGTCTTTGATTTTTAGAGATGTAGACTGAAGTGTCTTGGGAAGAATTTGTCATGATGTCTGAATTTAATTTTAAGGAAAAAAAAGAGTTGGAGCAAATGTGGCAAAATGCTAACAATTCTTAAATCTATGTGATGGGTACTAAGGGTGTTCAGTACACTATTATTACTTTTCTATTTAGATATTTTGGTTAGAAGTAAACAAAAATAAAATCACGTAGCAGTAAAAAAAAATTCTAAGAAACGTGTGTACTGAAGTTCAGTGTGAGAAATGCATAGTGGGTGAGGCAGCGAGACTTTATCTGTCATGTAGTTATTCAATGTTGAGAAGTACCCAAATAACCATTAACAACTAGTACAATTCCTGGCCCATAGCAGACACCCAGTAATTAGGTATTAAACTGATTTTTAAGACTAGCCCCTACTCCCCACCCTCTGGGGCTCCTAGTCTGGCCTACGATCTCCCCTGTGTGCCTTTTAGCCTAGGTGTTACAGAAGCTTTGAAAAGACAGCAGAGGACGCTCTTCAAGGTTGGGTGCTTTTGTCAGAACTGTAAAACTACAGGGGCGCCTGGGTAGCTCAGTCGGTTAAGCGACTGACTTCAACTCAGGTCGTCATCTTGGGGTTCTGGGATAGAGCCACGCATTGGGCTCCACGCTCAGCAGGGAGTCTGCTTCTCCGTCTCCCTCTGCCCCTCCCCCCACTTGTGTGCGCCCACTCTCTCTCTCAAATAAAATAAAATCTTAAAAAAAACTATAAAACTGCCTTGGGAAAGCCCATTTGATGATGATGATGATAAGAGTAGTTACATTTACGAGTGCTGAGTGCTGGCACTGTGCAGAGTACATCAAAATCATGATCTCGTTTCATCCCTACAATCGCCCTATGAAGTAGGAGGTGATGTTATCCTCATTTTGCAGCATAACACTAAGCTTTTCAGTTCCACCACAATTATTAGAGTAACAATTGGAACCCAAGGCTTTAAAGACTCTGCTAAACTGACTGCCAAAAAGAGACAGTGTACAGTGTTGGTCAGGTGGAGCACTGCTCAAGTTCTGGCACTCTGGGAATCTGAATCAGGAGAATCAGTTTTGCTCCAGTTTGCTCTGCTGATTCTACAGAGGTTATAGTGACAGTGATGTAATCTTACATATGAAGATAGAAATGCAAATAACTCTATATTGGGAATAAGTGCCAGGAGAGGGTATAGACAAGTACAATGAGGACTTAAACAACTAAAGGTCATTTGGGGGAGGAAAGGTGGAAGTGGCTTTTGACAGGGGCTTTGGAGAAGTAGAATTTCAGAAATGAAATTCAGCTAAGTGTTTAAATTCTGTCTGTGCTAGTTTACCAAATAAGTGGTTCAGTTTGGTCCCAGCATGTGTCTATAGAGGAAGAGTGAGAAGTAAAATTTAAAGGTAGACTGAGACTTGGAACACAGTGTGGATGGCCTTGACCGCCAGATTTTAACTCATTCCATAGACAGGGAGAAACCATTTAAAGTTTTTACAAAAGAGTGATGTAATTAAAGTTGCATGTAGGGATTGTCTCTATTAGGAATATGTTCTTCTCCCAAATATCTGTATAGCATATTCGCTCTCTTTCCTTTTGTTATACAGATATTACCTTCTCTGCTCTTTCTCTGTGTCAAATAAATAAAATCTTTTAAAAAGGGGGGGTGCCTGGGTGGCTCAGTTGGGCATCTGCCTTCAGCTCAGGTCATGATCTCAGGGTCCTGGGATCGAGCCCCACATCCGGCTCCCTGTTCAGTGGGGAGCCTGCTTCTCCCTCTCCTTCTGTAGCTCCCCCTGCTTGTTTTCTCTCTTTCTTTCTCTCTCTGTCAAATAAATAAAATCTTTAAAACAAACAACCCCCCCCCAAAATATTACCTTCTTTGTGAGGCCTTCCCTGACCTTCTGTATAAAATTACAACCCCATCCTAGGACTCCCTTATCCTTCCTTGTTTTATTTAATAGCACTTATCACAATCTAACATACGTATTTTACCAATTTACTTTTATTGTTGTCTTTCCTCCCACTTGAATGAAAGAGAACAATTGTGTCTATACTAGGCTTGAACAAGCCAGTACATATATTGTGGTTAATAAAAGAAGTTACACATAAGGAGAGGAAGAGGGCTAGAATGAACCCTGTGGGGTCACAGTTATGATCATGAACTTGTGGTTTTTAATATATATGCAGATGGATAGACACAGAAATAAATGCAGATGTACGTGTGTGTTATTAACCATACATATACGTTCTAGCCACGTTGACTAAAAGGGTCTAGAAGTAGTGACAGGACTTCCTTAGTGGCAACAAGTACACTCAGCACCCAGAATTGGATTTCTTCATACCATTCTCTAACAAAGGAACCAGGGCTTCTTGGAAAAATGGTTGATTCCAGGGCTGGGGCAGGGAAAACACAAGATGAGTTTAAAACATTTTGCACCAAAAAGCAAGGAAGTGCTCAAAATATGATGGGTCATGTTGAATGGGCAGGGGCCAACACAAAGGAGCTCTCAAAGCCAAAGTTGATAAAATTAGAACAAGAAAATAATAGTGTTGTCATTTGCAATGACATGGATGGAGCTAGAGTGTATTATGCTAAGTGAAGTAAGTCAGAGAAAGACAAATAACCATATGATTTCACTCATATGTGGAATTTAAGATACAAACCAGCAGAGAGAAAAAAAAAAAAAAGAGGGAGGCAAACCAAGAAACAGACTCATAACTATAGAGAACAAACTGATGGTTACCAAAAGGGAGGTGGCTAGAGGGATGGGGATTAAGGAGTGCACTTGTGATGAACACTGGGTGATATATGGAAGTGTTGAATTACTATATTATAATCTGAAACTAATATTACAATGTATGTTAACTAACTGGAATTTAAATACAAACTTTAAAAAACCAATAGTATTGGATTACAACCCACAGACTAAAATAAATATGCATGAGTCCATTGAGTCCATATTGATATAAATCGATCATTGCATAAACAAACAGATGGAGGAGAAGGGACAGCTCTTCCTTATAGTAGCATTCCAAATTTATAAATTAAATAGGAATGATGGAAATAGAAAATCTCTGTTTGACAGACACTCTAGTGATAATTGTTGCAGGCGAGGACCATCAATGGATGCTAAAATTAGTGGGTCAGAGTGATGAGAAACAAGGTATCTTCCCACAAGATACTTACCAGTTACAAAGGACAAAATAGTGATTTTACAGCGGGGTAGTCTCTTCAATGACCATGTGATCAAAGTTAACATTGCCAATAATAACACATATTGACATCATGTACCCATTGAGAAGGGCATGCTTTCATGATTTTCTTGCCAAAAAGGCATAACCTCCATCTAATCATGAGAAAACACCAACAGCCCCAAATGAGAGACATCCTACAAAATAACAACATGGTTTTCCCCAAATGTCAAAATCATAAAAGGTAGAGAGAGGCCAAGGACCTATTACAGATTGGAGGAGACCAAGAAGACATGACAAGTAAATGCTGTGTAGGATCCTGAACCCGAAAACAAACTTTCTTTAGAGGGAAAATTGGTGGAATACAAGTAAGGTTTGTGGATGAGTTAATAGTGTATCAGTGTTAATTTCCTAACTCTGATAATTGTACTATACTTACATGGTATGTTAAATTAGGGGAGTCTGGGTGAAAGGGTACTGCACCATTGTATTGCAATTTTTATATAAATACAAAATTAAAATATTTTTAAAACTGGGAGTTTAAAAATGAAATTATTATAGAAAATATAAGCAATATCAAAAGGAAGGAATGAAGAAACCAGAAGTGATTTGGTGACTGACTGGGTTTTGGGGGGTGGGGCTTGGGGTAAAATTTTATTGATAATGTTATTCAAAAAAAATACCTTACATTTTCGGGGTGTCTGGGAAAATGAACTATAATGGGGAAGTCTGGAAGAGAAGCTGGTTTTGTGGAAGAAAGATAGGTATTGTTTGCTATGTTTTGATTATGCTAAGATTTCAGACTTGTGGTTGATTAGGACAAAACAGTTCTTAGACTCACATTTGACATGTAATAAGCCACCTTTGTCACCTCACCAAATTTGGTATCCCCGCCAGTGAGACACAGTGTCAGAATCTCCACTCCTAAATAAAGCTGTTTCAGAGACTTAGTGTAAAAATGAAGGTCTTGCAAACCATGCTTAAGGATAGGAAATTTGTGGAAGACTTGAGAAACTGGAAATAATGCCTGTACTAAGTAGAAAAACTATTTGGAAATTTGAGAATGTATTTTTTTTTAAATTTGTAGGTACCAAAGATGATACAAAGAAATGTAATCTCAGAAAACAAATTACTGGCTACATGGATAGAGCAGAAATAGTGAAGAAATACTTGGATCAAGAAAAAGAAGGTAAAGAGGCTGATTATAGAATGTGTCTATAAGCTATTGTGACAAAGCCCATTTCCTGCAGTGTTTCTGGCTCTGCCTTTTGGAACTCTTTGTTGTCTGGACAGTCTATCCCTGGGAGCCTACAGGTTTACTTTGCATTTCCACTTCCCTATACATAAGCTGTCCTTAGCTTTTTTGGGGGGACCCTGGGGGGAGGTGGTTTTCACATACACTGTTGAGAATCTGATGAGAGCTATACGTACTGCAGAACTCTGCATGCTGTTTTAAGGAATTCACAGATCCCCATGAAGCTTATGTATGGATGGCAGTTGAAATAATACTACACAGAAATAGAGAATGTAAATCCTGTATTTTATTTGTATTTCCCTTTGTAAAATGACCAAAATGTTGAAGTAGCTAAATAAGCTTCTGGGACTTCTTTAGGATTTTGTTGTGAATCAAAACATTTCAGTGTTGCAGTTCCATGACTGGAGAGGCTGTAGGTATCCTTCCCTACTTATTATTAGTTCTCTACTCATGAGCATGCAGATTACAAATATATGTCTATAAATGGTCATCGCCACCTTTGTCTGGCACACTCTGCTTATTTTTAGCCGAAGTTACTACTGCCCTCAAAAAACCAGTGCCTCCAGGGGCGCCTGGGTTTTGCAGTCGATTGTCTTTTTTTTTTTTTTTTAAAGATTTTATTTATTTATTTGAGAGAGAGAGAATGAGAGATAGCATGAAAGGGAAGAGGGTCAGAGGGAGAAGCAGACTCCTTGCTGAGCAGGGAGCCCGATGCGGGACTCAATCCCGGGACTCCAGGATCATGACCTGAGCCGAAGGCAGTCGCTTAACCAACTGAGCCACCCAGGCGCCCCTCGATTAAGTATCTTACTCTTGGTTTCAGCTCAGGTCTTGATCTCAGGGTCGTGAGATCGAGCCCTGTGTTGGGCTCTGTGCACAGGCAGCACAGAGTCTGCTTAAGATTCTCTCTCTCCCTCTGCCCCTCCCTGCCCTCTGCTCTCTAAATAAATAAGTAAATAAATAAAATCTTTCAAAACTTTATTAAAAAAAAAACAACAACAGTGCAGCCCTCACCCACCTCTTCCTAGTATTCTGTATGAGCCCATACCCTGGGTACCTCCCTCCCCGAGCTCCTCTGTGGGGTGGAAAAATAGTGTTTCCTTCACCCTAAATTGAAATGTATAGTGAAATTTCCTTTTAGAACATGGGTGAAATATAGTACCATCAGCATTGTGGTTTGAATACATTGGGTTAAATTAACCCATGGGGCCAACTTGGCTTGAAAACTGATGCATAGTTACTAACATTATATTTGTGGAAACATTAGGAATGGAATCCAAACTACTGGTTTTTAAACAAACTTTAAATATGCAACCATCATATAAGTTAGAAGCTACCATTAGGGGTCATATTTTAAAAAAATCTTAAAGGTCTTTGATAATAAATTCAATAATTATTCATTTGGAATTAACAAAACAATAACTATTTTTCGGATCCTGTGGCATCCTAGTCTTTGGCTTGGGTTGTTAAGAAGTGGCATAAATTTCTGCTTAAAATACTCTGTAAGTTCTTCTAAATTCCATATAATACTGCATTTATATGTTTAATACTTTAGCTATTAAATTGAGGACATAAAAAGGCTTAAATCTGAAGAGAAGGACAAAGTAGCCCCTGAGTTCGAGCTTATGGTTCTACTTATGGTGACAGAATGTCAGCTATCATTTTACATATAGGCTTCTCTTGAATAAACTGCCTGGTCTACAGGATTCGACTCAAGAACCTGTTCCAAGAAATCTCTGGACTTTCCTACTTTGCCTCCATGAAGGTAGAAATGACTTAGGGAATTGTTTGCCTTATTTATCTCTGTATGTGTAGTATCTTCCATTGTGTCTCATATATATGTAATAGGTATTCAGAAATGTTTGCTGAGTGGAGGAGTTAAAAAAAAATTAACTCTTGGGGCGCCTGGGTGGCTCAGTTGTTAGGCGTCTGCCTTCGGCTTGGGTCATTATCCCAGGGTTCTGGGATTGAGCCCCGCGTCGGGCTCTCTGCTCAGCGGGAGGCCTGCTTCTCCCTCTCCCACTCCCCCTGCTTGTGTTCTCTCTCTCACTGCGTCTCTCTCTGTCAAAAAAAAAATTGTATCTGATCCTGATTAATCACTGTATGTAAATACGTGTAAGAAGAAAATAAATGGTCACTGGTTTTATTATTGAAACTTGTGTTTTGTAGATGGAAAATATCACAAGCAGATTAAAATAGAAGAGAATGCAACAGGTTTCAGTTATGAGTCACTTTTTCAAAAATACCTTAATGAAACAGTTACAGAAGTTTGGATACAAGATCCTTATATTAGACAGGTTCATCAGGTAGGTGAAATGTACAAAAATATGATGAAATGTTATTTAAAATGTATGAGTTAATAACCTATCCCGATGTCTTTCAGCTATATAACTTTCTTCGATTTTGTGAGATGCTTATTAAGAAACCATGTAAAGTAAAAACTATTCATCTTCTCACCTCTCTGGATGTAGTAAGTATCTGGAAGCATTTACTCTTTCTTCATTAACTTTATTCAGTTACGAGATGTAGTTTGAGCAAGGAAAACGTGGACACCGCTTCAGCTAGAACTATTTCTTTGGCAATTATCTAACAATAGGCCTAAAATATCTTCCAAAAAATGTTGTTGTTTTTTTTCTGATTTTGTTGTACCTTGCATTTGGCCACTTTGCTCAACTCTCTGATTCAAGTAGTTTTGTCAGTTTAGTCTCTTGGATGTTCCAGGAGATGATCACATGTCTGCACTGTTGACAATTTTGTCTGTCTTTACCAATGATTATATCTCTTTTTCTTGATTTATTGTATTGGCCTTCTGGTGGATCATAGAATGATAGTGAGCATCTACATCTTGATTTTGACTTAAATAGGAATGCTTCTAAATAAACCAGATTTCTAGGATTAACTTGAAAAGAAAGCTGAGTAACTAAAAATCTGAATAACTAAACAGCATTACTAAAATACATTTTAGGAGATGGGACAGAATTGTGTTATGTACACATTAGAAAAAAACCAATTATTTTGATAAAAACAAGTGCTATTATACTACTTCATACTCTGGTTGCTTCTTTGAGATAATAGACTTTGAAACTAGTATAGAATCTTTCCCATTTTAATTCATCCATGATATACACTGCACAACTTAATGATAATTTAAAATGATAATAACTGAACAGAAAATTGTATTCTTCCTATTAACAGGGTAGTGGGAAACAGCAGCAAAGTAGTGGCCTGCAAGAAATAAAAGAGTCACTCCAGAATCACGGTGTGCTATTGGAATTAGAATATTCTTCTTCAGTACATGACCGAGAAATTAGGTTAGTGTATAGCAATATTTTAATTTTTATGCAGTTGAAAATACTTATTTTTATTTCTTTTAATAAGTTTTATATAATTACATGTAAATATTCAATTTATTAAAATTTTAAGTAAAGCTCAATTTTAGTATCTTTTCACTTTTGAGAAAAAGAATCTGGCTTATTATGTCTTGAGTTTCATATTTCCTAATGGAATCAAGTTTACGTGTTCTATTTCATGTGAGAAGAGGAAGTACTTTTCTATTCAAGTATACATACAGTGTTATGGTATTGGGATAATTTTCTGATGATAATAGTTAATAATCTGATGATCTTAGTATTTACCTCTTACAATTTATTAAATAATCTCATAGGTGTGACAGTATGCTACAGTGTCTATAAGCAAACAGTATATGCAGGTATTTTAGTAGTTTGTTCCTCTGTTTAACACAGTGGCTTTCATACGTTTAGAGTAACTGCTGTTGGGATCCAGAGCTCTTCTTGCTTATGTCCCCCATCTCTAGGTAGGGGAACCCCTGCAGCACACCATAGTCTGCCTGAATATACTTAGAACAGTAAAGTTTTGTCAGAAATCTGAAATTCTAGAGTAAGATTAATTGAATTGTCAAACTTGTTACCAGCTAATCAAATCAACTAATGGTTCCTTTGGACGTTTTTATTTCATTGTAGACATAGCCCATGAGTAACGCCTGGTTTGGTTCAACTCATGCCACTGCAGAAAGTGATTTTCTATGTTAGGGGGAAATGTTGCTGATGCTTGCTACACTACACCTTTGATAACTGTCTGACTTAAATGTCTGGAGTATAATACTGTAAACTATTTCAACAGGTTTAACAATGGATGGATGATTAAGATTGGAAGAGGACTTGATTATTTTAAGAAACCACAGGTAGGATATAGTCTTATGAGTGAGTATATTACACTCTTTTTGTATCATTTTAACAACATGGCTTTGGGTTTTTTTTAATTAAAAAAAACTCTTTTCTTCTTTTCTTAGAGTCGTTTTTCCCTTGGATATTGTGATTTTGATTTAAGACCATGTCATGAAACAACAGTGGACATTTTTCATAATAAGCACACAAAAAAAATATGATGGGTAGTAGCTTAATTTGCATTATATATTTCTATTTTAAGTGAATATTGATTTTGTTGTTACTTTGGATAGATCATTCCTATAATTACAAATTTAACAATAAATTTTTACATTTCTACTAATTTATGGATCCATTTTTTAGTTATGTAACCAACCCTAAATATTTTTATAAATACATTATTCAGTAGATTTACAGTGTTTCCAGTCATAAGGTTAATTTAAACATTTTACCAGCTTGTCTCTTATTTGACTGTTGGAGAATGAATTAATAAACAATGAGCGCCTATTATGAAGATGAATTGGATGTTAATCTTGCCCCTGGGAATTTAGCGTGCAGGAGGAAAAAGCATGGATTAGAGTACTCTTCTAAGAGACAGATGGGCTTGGGGGTCTAATAACCAGGAAAAAAAAATGTTAATTTTATTACAATTAAGTGTCCCTGGTAGAAATTCACCAACATTATTTTATCCAATATTACCTAACTCCATAAAGGCAAATCAACCTGCTTAGTTAGTTATGCAGAGGCATTTTGCAGCTACTTCAACCTTGGCTGGCACATTTGTAAAGCTTTGCAGCTTAGGATCAACTGTTCTGGGTAAACTCATCCATCCAGACGCCCGTTGACTGGTTGGGGACGAAGACTAGGTTCTGTGGAGATAGGTTGGGATTGGGGGTAAAGGTAGAAGTAACGGGCAGTCCAGAAGCTTAAAGAATAAGCTAAGCCAGTCTATGGAGGGAAACAGAAGTACTTGTGTTGAGGAATACACATCTAAACATCTCATCTGGAGAAGACTGAAGATTACATTTAAGATTAAATAGTATGGAGGACCAAAGCCGGTAGAAGCCACAGGAATCAGGTCGGGCAGAGTGGTCCCTGGGTGACTTGGACACCAGGTTTATGTTTTACCTCCGGGAGCCAGCAGTCACCTGACTGAGTTGGCATAAAAGACCAAGAAGGGATTCCAGAAAAGTTCCTAATGTTTTTCTTTAATGTTTTCAGGTTCAGGTGCTGATAATGCTGAACCTGAAAAGACTCAAGCCAGTTTGCCAAGCTTTATTATATGGAAATTCAGGGTCTCAGGAAAGCAAGTGTTGGACCTAATCAGAAGTTACTTTCTGCAAAGTATCGTAGATTATTTTGCCAGGTACCTATCAGCATGTGGAAGCAGAGTGGCTTTTCATTCAGGTGAGAACATGTATTAGACCTTCTTTTCATGTTAAAGTAACCACTCTGATTTCTTCTAGAGCATGTGAATCTATCACTATAGAGATTCAGCATTTCACAACCCTATGAAATTAACTTTTATCCAACCAACATAGGAATCCTGCCTAAGAAATACTGATATTTAAGGAAGAGCATCTATCCATTATTTATAGTAGTGGATAAAGCAATAATGCTATCCATTATTCTAGGTATTTGAAATCTATCCCAGATCCAATTAGAACATCAGAAGACTACCATATGCAATTTACTTATTAAATACATCAAGAAATGTGCAAGAACTGTATGAGAAAACTATAAACTTTATGGAAAAATGTAAAAGAAAACTAGGAAGACAAATTATATTCTTGAATGGGAAGGCTTAAATAAGATGTCATCTCTTCCTAAGTTAATTTATAAATTAAATGACAAAGAGATTAACACTAGGAGACTTGACCAGCTATGAAGACATAAAGTTACTATATATATTTTTAATGTATGGGCATAAGAATGGACAAATCAGTGGGGTAGAATAAGGAGCCTGGAAATACCTGAGAGAGAAAGTAAATGTGTGTATGGGTCCTTAATGCACAACAAAGATATGGTTCATATTAATGGGGAAAGAGTAGACTATTCAATAAATGTTTGGAAAAAACATTAGATCTCTAGCCCACATAGAGGTTATTCTGTTAAAGAGCTAATTAAATGAAAAAAAAAATTTTTTTAAAGCTGCACTAAATGTACTCAGTATAACACAAAACCCAGAAATTATCAAGGAAAGGAAAAGGCAAAAGATTTGATGCTGTAAATATTGAAAACTTGAGTTCACTTCCTAAAATGTGATCAAATTTATAGCATATAGAGAAAGGGTTAATAGTACTAATATATAAGGAAGATAGCCAAATTTTTAGGAAGTGAACTCAATCTTGCCTCTGTTAGCCTCACCAAGGACTTTGTCCTTTTAGCGATCTCTCCCTCTCTGCTGCATTGTTTCTGCCAGTACAGACATTCCCAGCCAGATACCACCCACCCTATTTCTTTGTTCTTGAAGTTCTCTATACAATTTTTTCCCATTTCCTTACCACCCATTAATACTTCAGCTCACTTCAACCAGGCTACCCAGTCACTCCACTGAAATTGCTCTTGTCAAGGTCAACAATGACTTCCATTATTACCATATCCAGTGGGACTTAACCTTTATATTACTTGATCTTTCAGGTGTAATTGACCCAGTTGGCCACTCCCTTCTTTTTTTCTTAAAGATTTTATTTATTTGACAGAGAGAGACACAGTGAGAGCAGGAACACAAGCAGGGGGAGTGGGAGAGGGAGAAGCAGGCTTCCCGTGGAGCAGGGAGCCTGATGCAGGGCTCGATCCCAGGACCCTGGGATCATGACCTGAGCTGAAGGCAGACGTTTAACGACTGAGCCACCCAGGTGCCCCTCGCCACTCCCTTCTTAAAGCTCTCAAATTCCATGAAACATACTTTCCTTCTCCTCCACCGTCTTTTAAGTATTGGCGTTCTCCTAAATTAGATACTAAGGAGTAACCTCTTTTTTTTTTTTAATCTACACTCTCCCCCAAGTGATTATACCAGTAATTTCTTAATGAAAAGCAACAGAAACTGCTCTTACCTGATGTAAGCAAAAAAGAGATTGTAAAGATAGTGGGTAGTTCATACAATCACCACAAGAGGTACAGACTTGGCCTTGGAAGTTCTGCAATGAAAAAAGCCATATCTAGATTCACAACACAGAACTAATCAGATGATACCACTGCTGACCCCAAGGCAAGGCCTGAACTCAGTAGCCTTATTACCACTTCTGTCACTTAAATTATTGGGCACTACACTGCCACTCTTAGCACCTTGCTACCCCAGAAATTCAGACCCTGGTGCAACTGCCAGAGAAGGGTTTTCACCATCCCAGGTTCACTTCATCATGATCCATTCAGAGTCTGAAGCAAGTATATCTGATTGGCAGAGCCTAAGTCATGTGCCCTCACCCTAGATTCAAGAGACACTAGGAAAGGAGTACAGTGAAAATTTCAGTTTCCATAGAGAGGAGTGTTGTTGGTTTGCCATTTCTGGAGTTGCAGGTGAAATTCAAAACTGGCCTCCGTACACTCAGGGCAAGGAGGGACTGAAGAAAGAGGCAGACCACTTGGTAGATGGGGTTTAATAAGCAATGGAACTTACATATGAGGCTTGTCTAGGGTGGCTACAAGATAAGTAATCTCCGCACATGCCTGCAGAATCTCAAGAGTTCGTGGAGGCCTTGATGGGATTCAAGTCACATATACAATCCAGATAGTCTCAGTAACAAAGTACTCTCTCAAGGCTGAGTCCTTGAAGTGGCTCCTGCTGTGGGAGCAGTGGGCAGAACACACATTCTAAGGACAGGGAAGGGTGTAAAGGGCCTTCGATTGCCCATATCCAGTTTAAGGGTCAACTGGCAGTCACATCCTCTTGATGACCTCTCCAACAGGTGGGTTCTGTCTCGCAGCAAGGTTTTTTAAGTTGGAGAATCCCCCAAAGAGGGGACTCAGGTGCTAAATACTTTATGCTGTAAGATGAATTATAAAAGTTATAAAATGAATTATAAAAGTTCCCAATTACCCATTTTCATGACTTAAAATAATATGTATATGCTGTCAACTCCTAAATATATAAAGTAAGCCAAAACTTTTCCTTGGAGCTATGATCTCATATATTTAGCTGCCTATTTGGCATTTCCTCTGGCATTTCAGAAGCACATAGTCATTTCAAATGTAGGATGCTGCAACTGAACTTTGGAAACACACTCCCCCACTCCGTGTGTTTACTCCGTCCATCCAGTTGCTCAAATAAGAAACCCAGGAGTTGTTCTTGATTCATCTCCTTTATCCTCATATGGAAACAATCAGAAAATTCTGTGGACTGTAGCTGCAAAACATGCCTTTTCTTTCCAGGTGATGCTTGTTAAATTTCCCTTTTGAATCTTGAAGCCCTTAACACCTTTCACCTGATGATATTCTCGCTCTTGAGAAACAAATGGTATCAGAAAATCACGAGTGCTTTATTGCCCCAAAGCACATCATATCAGGATTTTTATGCCTTTCTTGGAAAGTAACTTCCACACGTTGCAGCAAATGTAGTGCATAAAAAATATGCCTATGAGAAATCTCTTCAAAATTGTTTATTTGCTGTTTAATATTGCTGGAAAAGAACAGAAGGACCTGCCTATGAAACCTGACTCAAATGAAAAATGGTTAGACTGCCAATTGTGTTTGTCCCCGGAGCCACTTGAAAAGTAAAATACCTTTCACTTACTCCGCTCCCACACTGAGGGAACCAGTTGCAGGCAAAACCCCATGTGTCCACTCCTGCCTCTTCCCCCCTCTTTTTTTTTTTTAAGATTTTATTCATTTATTTGACAGAGACAGCGAGAGAGGGAACACAAGCAGGGGGAGTGGGAGAGGGAGAAGCTGGCTTCCGACTGAGCAGGGAGCCTGATGTGGGTCTCAATCCCAGGACCCTGGGATCATGACCTGAGCTGAAGGCAGACGCTCAATGAGTGAGCCACCCAGGTGCCCCCTGCGTTTTCCCCTTCTTCACAAAAAAGGGGATGAGATGTGGATCCACTCAGTTACATGAAAAGAAAAGAGCTCATAAAAGCTAAATTCACATGTTAAAATCCTAACCCCCAGTACCTCTGAATCTAACTGTATTTGGAGGTAAGGTCTTCAAAGAGTTATAGAGTTAAAATGATGTCTTTACAGAAGACCCTAATCCAGTAAAATTGGTGTCCTTATAAGAAGTGTAAATTTTGACACAGATATGCATACTCAGAGGAAATGTAACAGCACCCGAATTGGTCTTAAGGGTTAATGTGCTTCAAGCTTATTCACTCCTTGCTTGCGGACCTAAATCCCAGTTTGTAG